TTACGTGGAAATAAACAATGAATTGTTATAAAGTATAAACTAATATAACTATTGAATATGTAAACTGATTAGTTGATTCTGTTACGTATGGAATAGTTGAAAAATAATACATATGAGAGAAGAGAAATTTAAATATAAAGTTCTAAAATAAAATATTTGGTTTGAAAGAACCTTACATCATTACTAGAAATTACATTTCTATAACATTTTACAGAATAATTGTATAAAAGGTATGTGTTTCATTTGTTGGGTTCCGTATGTTTTCAAGGAAGACCATATATTATTGTTATAATAAGAAAAATATTATATTACAGAAGAAAAATGCAGGAATAGCATGTATGCATAGTAGTATATGTATGTGTATGAATACATAGGCATTCAAAAACAATTTTTAAAACAATGAAGTTATTCTAAATTATATGTATAACATATATTTTTGACGTTTACTACCTATAATTTTGTTATTTCGACCCAGATATATTTGGGACATATACAAATTTCTGAAAGAATTCTACTGATATAATTATATGTGCGTTGGTGTCGTATGTATGTTTGTTGCTGTTTAACTCATAAACTACTAAACAGATTTCGGCGAAACTTTATGGTGATGAGGTTTAGACATCAGAATGGGGCATAGGCTATAATTTATACCGGAAATCCGTTTAGTTCCCACGGGATCACGGCGTAATAGTTCAGGTGACAGTTACAGATGTCGCTTCTGATTGGTTCAATTGTTCTGTGTAACACATATATTAATTTCTCTTTGAGCCTAATTTCCTATTATAATTTTCCTATGAAATCCGTATTTATGTAGGATATTTAAAATACACGTAAACTTTTAAATTTAAATTCGTTAAATTAAAATGTAATAAACAATAGCGGGGACGTCAGCTGCCAATATTTGATTTGGCGATGACGTCATACAAAATATTATATAGAAAATCTTATATACATAATATAACAGTGGTAAATAAAGATAACCTTTTGTTTTTTACGATAGAAATAATGTTTTAGTACAATTAGGGAATACTAGTGTCCTTATTATTATAGTACGCGGTTTAATATCTTGTATGCACTAGTTCGTGTTATGAAATTAAAAATAAAAATATATATTTGTATTCAAATATGACACAATATAATATATGTACCATAGTCCATAAGTATTATGAATATGTTTTAATTATTTGAAATAAATGAAGTCAGGATATAGGCAAAACTGGGGTGTTTTTAATGATGTACTAGAGTTAGAAATAAATACATCGCCCTTATGTTTGCTATAAAGTTTACTTCATTACATCTCCATGAATATAGTTGGTTATGTCCAATTTAAAAACACACGGTAAAAGTTTAAATGAAACTTATATTTTTCGGATTATACTGTTCGTGTTTTATTATTGTAAAAACTACATACTCCCGACGTTTCGGTTACTTTTCAGCAACCGTGATCACGGGCAGACGAGATGTGAATGTCTGTCAATTCACAATTGGTCTTGTTATCTATCTGTTTTTAACGTTAATAGTTATTTATACTTTTTTTATTACTCATTTACTCTAATCATGACTTCCATTTCAAAACGAAGACAAACTATTTGAAGTTTTGGCGAAGGTTTATAAATTGAACTGTATCCTTAGCACTAGTTTAGATCGTCATACTACAAACGAAGAGTTTCTCGTTTTTTATTAAATAACCAACGTAAATAATATTATCTGAAAGGATTTATGAATGAAAAACTGTCAAAGCGCCGTTTGTAGTCAGACTAAACACTTAAAGTTGCAACGGATTTTGTTTTATAGGTACTCTAGTAAGTGTTCTCTAAAGAACGTAATGTTGATATATTAATGCAAGTATAATTTTGATTATTTAGTTTATTTTATTTTATATGTTTTATATGTGCATATCAAAGAAATCTTAATATTAATTTCCACAAGAATTACATTATATGATATGCATATATTAGATAAAATTAAATTTATGTGGTTTAAATAAACTTTGTTACTTAAAAATTAAAATACGCCGTCAATATTAAAGTAATAATATTATCATAATATTATAATTAATTTAACTTTTGATATTTATGATAATGTTTCTTTATACTAAATATAATTCTTAAGAGCAAATTACGTATGTATGTTTTTGTCGGTCATCTCAGAAACCAAGGACCCGTTTTTGGTGTAATTAGTGTTTAAAAATATATATTTTATTTTAGGTTTTGAATTTATATATTTAGTCTCGTTTCTTATTATGGTTTCAGAAAATAAAATAAAATGTTTAATTAATATTTTTAGTATAGATATATATATAAATCTTGTTATATTTTATTTATATATTCACACTTATAAAAAATTTCCTTATTTTAGTTTTCAAGTTAGGAAATATTTTAACAACACAGATCTAATTCAAATAGCATCATAATTTTAACATAAAGAATACTTACAAGCGGTAAAAAATAGTTTAATTGGCATTAAATATTAGGTATTAATGTATAAATAATATGCGTCATTTTTTATTTCAAAGTAAAATCAAAATATTTAAAACAATTTCAAAGAGTTTAAAGGTATTTACGTATGAGTGTTAGGTGGTTTTGGGCTTAGCTGACATTTTTTCTATTGAAGAAAAATTTGTCACAATAATACTTAGTTGTCTCAAAAAAGGGTTCATTCAAGATAAATATTAAAGATGAATTTGTTGTAACAGATGCGTTGAATACGTTAGAGCAGGAAGTCAGTAACTTAAATGATATCCGACCCCATCATCCTTCTTCATTCTTTAAGTCTCGATCAATTCCAGGTGTGAGAGACAATAATTGCTATTATACACCTGGAACTGCTTGTACAGGTGTTCATATCGACAATGATCGCTCCCAATCAGGTGGCCAATTTGAAACTATAAGGAATTCCATATCTTTATTATGAGTCATTCAAAACGACCTTTGTGCAAAATAACAGTGTTTAACTATATATTTATCTACTAATCCTATTTATCAATGATTATAGAGATTGGCAATAAATTTAACATGTAGACTTCTTCTAATAAATCTTAAAGGAAGTGTCAAACATCCACAAAAAATCCTAAAAAATCTTAGAGTTCGAAATATTTCCTTTTGCAAACCATAAGGTAACTGTTGAACTTCTTTAGACAACTTTCTTGAATATTCTTATTTGATAATCAAACAACACAGGGTTTTATAGTGCCTCCCATAAATCCTGGGTATTCCCCATTCCTAATACAACGACACAGGAAATATATCAAAGTTAACCTTCGCACGATAAACTAAGGTGATTGACCATTATGTCTCGCTGATATTTTAAACTAACCTATTATTGTTTAACATAGATTATTAATAATTAATGGCTTACAAAATATACTATGTCATTTGCGATTATCATGAATTATACGTACAATAATAATTCGTAATGACACAGTTCATTATGTTATGTCATTTTAATTTGTGTCAAGTTCATATTGCATGAACTATGTACCACTACATGCCTTTTCATTGAGGACTAAACGCATACCGAAACAACAATGGGGCTATTATTATAGTAGTATTTTATTTATTTTATGTTCATATATATGTATATATCATTCTCTTTTAAAACTGACCTCTTATATATTTGTTTGTTTTTTGATAATGTTAGTATTTGACAAATGTGTCAGTGGGATGGAACATTTTTTTTTTTTGGTTTATCTTATCTCTTACTAGGAAAATAATTTGTTATCAATAATCAAAACTAAATGTAAAAGTGATAATACAGTGACTAGTGAGTACTAAAATAACAATATTCACCATAAAAAAATGCATTAATAAAATTAAATATTTTAATAATTTTTAGCAGTAATGTCTACAGTTTGTAGTTATTCAAATAGCAACCAAAAACGTTAATTATATATATTTTTTGTGCGAAACACTGACGAAGTCGCAGACACCATCCATTTGTAAATTAAATAAATAGTTTTTTTTGTCACGAATGCGGTTGCACGCAAAAAACAAGCAAACAATTGTTTACCATTGTTCTGCTGGCCTTGTCATTCATTCGTGGTTCCGTAAATATGTTTTGTTTGACAATAACGATGGCATCGTGTTATATCCGGTGCAGTGTGATACATAGATACCGAGCCGTCAGAGTCCAACGGAATATTCTCGTTCGATGGCCCCTTGTTTGTCAGCCCGCTAAGCTGAAAACAACACACGCTCCTTGTAACCTCTCACGAATGTTCCTCGGTAGATTTCCATTAAGATTGTTAGATGCGTCTAATGTAGGTGACGGGGCAGATTTGCACGTCAGTGGCGGGAGACAATAACATAGTAGGTTAGCATTGATGTTGTATGCGAGTGTTATTATTTATAACTGTCAATAGCGGCCTTGAGTCGTATGGTTACTGTACGTAAATAGCCACCGGTTACATAATCGTGCACTTTACGCATATGTGCTGTCTATTTCTAAGTCGCCGGCGATTAGTCCCATTCCTTGGCTGGCTGTTTGGCAATCATGTTATATATGTGAAAAATGTTCATTCATATATTGACATTATGTAATATTAATAGATGTTAATGTTTTATTACATATGACCTTTACACATTAATCATTAAATGAAACTCATCGCGTTGTTTACAAACATGGCCTTGCGATAAAAGGTTATCGGGCACTTCACTGCAACTCTGTTTTAGTATTCTTAAGAATATCAAAAAATATATATATTACACAATAGAGATATATAGAGACTATGGCTCGTATATTAATTTTATATCCTTAACATCGTAAACGTTATAGCACATAATGACGTCATAACGTCCCACCTTTTATACGGACTACTCTGACGTCATAACAATCTCCCCTTTCACAATACGTTCACTCGTCGTTCCACTATCCACAATAATAACATAAATTGAACGCGAGATCAAAGAAGGTTATGTTAATAAAGGTCGTAACTCGTAACAACATTTATTCGGTGTCAAAATAGTTTATAGAAGTCGGTATTGTTGGAATGTAGCGTTAGGTTGGCGAGCGGCGTGCTATTCATAGCGGATGATGAGCGATGTGAAAGATGGATGGATGGATGGTTGGATGGTCGGATGGATGACGTGTCCTCGGCGTCGCTGCAGCGCCCCGGTTTGGCGCGGCGCCGGCCAGATCACGAGCACACGGACTATACATGCATTCTATATTTAACGGAGTCCATTATTATGTTACATACCAGAACCTACTCACCTCAACAGATGACTCGTTTCGCTCACGTGATGTAACATTGTTTATAACGCGCTCAATGAAACCATACTTAAATGAGTTCATCAGTATGAAGCCTACGGATGATTCAATGCATGCTCTAATACTCGATACATTGTTTTAATACAGATGCCATTTTAAAAAAATATTTACAAAGATATTATTACAGCTGAGCTATATTTGTAATCTAGTTATGTTATTCGTGTACTTGTAGGCGACTGTTATGTGGTAATCATTTTAAATATACAAAAATCATGAAATGAAAGACGTCGTTCATTTTTATTGTGTTTCAATGTATTTTACGTCATCCAGTCTGACGTCGATGGTTTTATTTATAGTGAGATAAAAATGAGTTAATGGCAAGACTCGAGGTACAGATTTGGTGAGTGACGTGACATCGCCTACGCGGCACGTGATTCATGCGTTTTATCGTATAAGGTTATACATTACCCTAATTAGTCGGTGCTCGGTACCACACTAGATACAAAGTCCATAAGTTGATATCACGATATCGATAAACTGTTTCATCGACATCGATTTATCTGTATAGTGATTCCTATAATAATTTGTTTATAACATTTAAATTGTTTATCAATAAGAACTAACATTAGAACCTTGTAAACAATGTTTCTTAACTCATCAACATTAACACAATATAATAAACAATTTATTAATTAAATTTAATTATATATCTGTTGTTTAAGTTGTAAATTATATCTAATTATAAATATAAAGAGGTTCTTATATGTATTGTGTATGATGCCGGGCTATTCTCCCCTCGCGACCAGTGAAAGGTACGTTAGCGATAAACGATGTGTAAATTTGGTATATTTGAATGTCTAGACGGCGCTACGAATGCACTGCAGACTGTATTCACCCTATAATTAATGTGAAATTTTATATGTCTGTATGGGGCTGTCTGTGTACCGAACAGATTTAATATACACTACTCTATCTAGAAATGTATACAGTAACAAGCAAATTATTTTCTTCTAGATACACGTGCATTCACAATTTATAGTATATTTCTTATTTGACTTACGAAAACTGAATAATATCGAATTATATATATATTGGTATTACATAAATTAATTAAAGTTTAATTAAAATATTATATATAATTATCGTATTGATATTTATTCCTAATAATACAATATTAACCTTTCACTTGTACAGTTTGTTTTCCATCTTCGGATAAATACAATTCTAAATATATATATTATCTTGATGTTGTTCTCTTTATTAGTTTTTGATTATATCTTAGTATATAGTAAATAATATATTGTTATATTACTTACTTTATAGCTCTATAGTTAGATATATAGGGTATGACGATTTCTTCAAATATTTACTGTGAAATACCGTAACATATGTTTTATAACCTACTGTTTTACTATAAGAGGATTATAATATCTTTTAAATTACAGTAACAAATAAATAAACTAAACTAACATTTATTTCACAAATCATTTTTGTATTTTTCGTAATTTATTACGGTAAAATTTTATTTCTCCGTATAATATTCTTTTATTGGTAATCATATGCAATGAATATTTTTTTTTATCGTGTAATATTTTGATAGTTATTTCGAACCATTATCATTATTTATTTCAATAATAATTTATATAAAACTTATTATTGTTTTAAAAATATGACATACCTTACATTTCGTTTTTAATTTATTAATAAGTCATATTGCGACATAATTACAGAATAATTCAGGAAAATAAAACTATAGAGACAAATATTTGTTCTTTATTCATATCTACACTTGTTATTATTTACATAGAGATAAAAATAGTTACATACTTTTCATGCGTCCTTGCTTTTTTATGGTTATAATATTTATAAATATTGTCAAAACATATGTTTTACTTAAATAAATCAAATAGTTTCATTTAAATATTTTTTTTTTGGATACATCATAACGCTGTTTTCATTATTTCACAAACTTTCACAAATTCACTTTCATCTCGTCTGCCCGTGATCACGGTTGCTGTAACCTGTAAGAACCTAAACATTGGGATCAAGTAGATATAAAATAATTAAAAAAAAAGCTAAGTGTCTTAATGAAAAACTTTGTCCCATTTCAATCAGTACACCCGAAAATCTATTCTTAAGCCATACATGAATCTACATACATATTATATACATGTATTTTTTATTTATATTTCATTTCATACAAAAATATATGTATTATCTATGTGTTATAAAAGATTCACAACCACATCTTCCTTCAATACCATCCTCAATAGTTATTTACGTAATAACGAAAAAATAACTATAAAAACGTCGATCGTACGTAAAATGATTAGTCATTTAGTTTATATATAATATGTATTATATGTTCCGATAATTTCTCTATATATAATGTGTATTATTATATTATATATGTATGCACGTGTCGTAAATGTTTACTACGTCCGTTGTGTTGTTTGTTTGCGTTTATTTCCGCGGCGTTTTGCTTCGGATCCGCATTTAGCTGCAACATGATACCACTGACACGTCGTTGGAAGGATCTAACAATAGTATGACTGTACTACATACACTACATACTACCGACTACCAACTACTAACTACATACTACCGACTACCGACTACCGACTACCCTCACTGTCTGCACTTGGTTATAAGCTCCGGTTTTAATATGCGACCCATTAACAGACAGACGTCCATAGAATATTAATAGGCAATAGCTAACAGTACATTAATTATATTAATACGGTTTTGTCTAATAACGATGATTTGTAATTTTTTTTTTTATAAAATTTATAACGTAATTTTATTAGTTTTTTTCTCTTCGTTTCTATTATAAATCATTAGTGTCATGATCGTGGTTATGTTTGTAAATATTAATCATTATTCTGCGTTGTTTTATTTATGTTAGTTTAGTCCGCAGTTTTTCTGTGTTAAAGATAAGATATGTAGTATGTACGAGGTTATAAATAATGAAGTTTATCAGTGATACAAATAGTGTGTTAATAAATCAGTGAGGAATAGTATAGTTGAGCCGTCGGGAGTGTCATATTGCATGAGGCGCGGCGAGGGGCAGACGGCGACTCAATGAAAATATAAATAAAGCTTACAGACACCGCGCCCTGTTGATCTGTTTTCCTTTCCGAGAACACCGACCAGTATACCCTCTGCTTTCAGACTTAACGGCCTAATAAAACGAATTTACATTACGCATCCTTAATACAGTACAATACACTTACATATACGTTCTATCATCTATATGTCATAATAAAATATATTTGAAACACAAAATTCTTGAATCCGTATAAAAACTGAGTCATATTTTAATTATAATATATGTTTACATTTATAAGTCCCATGTTGGCTCGCACCGTATTGATTCATTCATCACATATAACGCCTCTTGTGAACGTAAAATTACACAGATTGGTTTAGTTAAATGCGTCGCAGCGATGGGGTCGAAGTCCGTGAGCGTCTGTACTCAGCGTCTATACTGTATACTGTATAGTTATATGTATTAGGCCTCGGCCTCGAATCTCGCGGGTAGCGGGGCGGCAGCGGCGGCGGCACGAAAACGCATACATTTCTCCGTGCCCGTTGCCCGCTAGTTTGGAGAATAGTATGCGTTTCCGTGCCGCCGCCGCTGCCGCCCCGCTACCCGCGAGATTCGAGGCCGAGGCCTTATAGTTGTGTCGAAACAATTGGATCGATTGTCTGCGACAAGATCATCGGCATACGTTTCCTGTGTCCGGACGGAGTTTATAAAGCATTCTTTTTTATAATGTTTGTACAACTGCTATCAATGTTTCTAAACATACAAAGGAATGGACTTTTTTTATATATAAACTATATAGAACAGATTTATTCTCATTTATAATAGATTCTTTTATTCTATATATCAGTATGATCCGAGATAGTCAGAGTTCTGATTGTGGTAATAGGATATTGTTATTGTCATTCAATATTATTGATAAAGAAATTCTAGACGATTTGTAATTAGAAAGTTTGTTAAAAGACTGCTCTGATCATATTAAATAACTTTTAAATTATATAGCCAGACTGATTCGATTCCAATAAATTATTGAATTTTAATCCCCGAGGGTTTGACCCCACACAATTGTACCTAATCTAAAATGTCATATTCTGTTTTCCTCTGCAATGCGGGTAGACGGATAGGGGAACGGCGTACAAATAAAAAAAAATACTGTTAATCAAATACATATTATATATACGTGAGATAAATACAATTATATGATTGTTATGTAACATATGTATAGTGTTTTTCAATAATATTTTTTCTATTAAGCAATTTATTATTGATACATTGCAACATTGGTCGGTGGCCGGTACATTATGACCCCGTAACGTCCACGTGCCGTCGTAACACTGCTGTCGTGTTTGTTTTCATTGGACTTCAACACGATAATGGAAAATTTTATTGGTTTTTCGTGCTAACCAATATTGTTTCACATCGATAAGGGACTAATGTCGCCGGACGCATTGTAGCGTACACCACGTGCAAGTACAACGTACTAGAACTCGTATATGTATATATAGCTACTATAACAATATTATAGGAAACTAGTATTGGTTATGCAACAAATTAGTGCCGTAGATTTTAGTAGCCATGCATAATCGTGTGTACTCGCTCTGCCTTTTACTGTTATCGTGTTACACGTGCTGTGATTTTACTATTTTACACATTGGATATTGTAAAACGTACTAGTTTTATTATACGCCGTAAAACCGATTAACTATTGTAACCTTAAATTTAAATGGCTACTAGAGTTATGAATTTCTGTATATATATATAAATTTTTATTGCTTAAGTTATGTTGTAGTTGAACATAAAATGAAACTAGCCGCATCCCCTACTATTGTAACGATTCTCATGATATTAACACTTATTGGGTATGTTAGTTAATTAAAATAATCCATACAACCGCTATGTAGGTAGTCGTTTGTTACTTGATGATGTATTCTCACGGCGGCGTGAGTGTGGAACCAGTTTCTACATTATGTTTATGTGAATACCGAGTGAAAG